TGCCCAAAGTGACCGTTTTCGAATTCTCGGAACTTTGGATGTTTCTCTATCTCAATTTTTTTGTTAAAGTCTCCAAACAACATCCAATACTTCACACACCTCTATGAAATTTGAAGTGTAACTGAAAGAACAAAAGAAGTCCTCCTCCTCTTGATACTCCAGCTTCGCCGAATACATTAGTAGTTAACTACTCTATAAATGGGATTAAATCCAATATTATTCCTCCAAACTGACCAAATATGACCCAATCGGCTATACTCGTAATTTGTCAACTGTTAATATGCCTTGAATCTGATTATGCATGCAGGCTTATCAACCATGCATTGATGTTTTCACGCTGCTTGAATAGACGTTGATGTTGGCATGATGCTGGATGTTGCGTGTAGACTGCAAGATGATGAATTTGCAGGCTGTACGATGAAGCTTCATGCTACATGATGAATATGCATGCTACATGATGAAGCTGCAGGCTGCATGTAGGAAGCTGCATGCTGCATGCAGGATGCTGCAGGCTGCATGTAGGAAGTTGCATGCTGCATGCAGGACGTTGCAAGCTGCATGCTGCATGTTGGATGTTGCAGTCTGCTTAGAAAGATGTTAAAGTCTGCTGGCTGCGTAATCAACATACAAGCCTGCACGCATATGGGACGCGCATCTGTTAGCTGAAGGCTTAGTATATTGGACTTCAGCGTGCGAGCCCAACTCACATGCTATTAGGATTTTTAGGGTTTGTCAGCTATATATAACCTTAGTATACCTAATTTTTGTATGTATTCTGAACATTCTTCCTCCATTAATAAATCAACCTCATTTGCCCGTGGGCGTAGCCAACACATCGTTGGTGAACCACGTTAAAACTGTGTCGTGTTATTTACATTTACTGTTTTCTTCTCGCATCCGTTACAACAAACTGGTGAACCACGCTAAAACTGTTTCCGCGTCTGGTGAGAAGATGTCTGGGATGAACGTGAAGATCGACAAATTTACAGGGAGTTACAGTTTCAGTCTATGGCATATCAAGATGCAAGCGTTGCTGAAGCAACAGGGCTTGTGGGCGCCGCTAGTTAAAGACAACAAGGGCGACGCTGCTGAGATGGCCAGTCTGGAGGAGAAAGCACACGCAACAATCCTGTTGTGCCTTGTTGATGAACTCATCATCGAAGTCTCAAGTGAAAAGACTGCTGCTGGTATGTGGGGGAAGTTGGAGTCTTTGTACATGACAAAGTATTTCACGAACAAGTTGCTTCTGAAACAACGGCTATTCGCGCTAAGAATGCAGGAAGGCACGCAGCTCAAAGATCACTTAGATCAGCTGAACTCGTTATTACTAGAATTACATAATATCGATGTTAAGGTAGAGGATGAAGACGCCGCCTTGCTATTGTTGGCATCCCTACCACTATTGTATGAGAACTATGTTTAATCGTTTATAAACGGTAAGGATAATGCATCTTTGGAAGAAGAAAGGTCGTCCCTTCACAGCAGGGAGTTGCGACGTAAAGCATCAGTTGCAGGTGCAGATAATCATGCTTCTGGATTGTTTGCCAGTGGTGGCAAAGGTCATGGAAATAACAAGAAGAAGAACGACAAGAAGTCATTCTCAAAGGGTCTTAAGCGAGATGATATCTGTAATTACTGCAAGGAGAAATGGCACTGGAAAACAGACTGTCCTAAGAAGAAGAAGCATTCAGCTTCTGCTGCTGTTGCAACTGTAGCGGAGGATGACAGCAAGTCTGAAGAGGACATTGCTCTGATTGCTGATGAACAAACACATCCGTTCGATGTATGGGTTCTAGACACTGGAGCGTCCTACCATATGAGTCCAAGGAGAGAGTGGTTTTCTACATATGAGCAGGTAGACAATGGTAGCATCAAGATGGCTAACAGCATTACTTGCAAGGTTGTTGGAATTGGTTCCATTAATATCAGGACGCATGATGGTAGATTCTGCACACTGAATGAAGTAAGGCATGTTCCGTCTATGACAAAGAATTTGATATCCGTGAGTCTGCTTGACAGCAGGGGTTTCAAGTACTCAGGTGGAGCTGAACGGATGAATCAGACGCTGTTGGAAAGAGCAAGGTGCATGCTCTCTAATGCTGGTTTAGAACGAAGGTTCTGGACTAAAGCTGTAAGTACAGCTTGTTACTTGATAAATCGTTGACCACACACAAGTATCAAGTTCAAGTTCAAGACGCCAACTGAAGTGTGGTCAGGAAACCCTGCAGACTACTCAAACCTTAAAGTTTTTGGCTGCACCGTTTACTACCATGTGAGTGAAGGTAAACTAGAGTCAAGAGCAAAGAAGGGAGTATTCGTAGGCTATGGAGATGACATTAAGGGATACCGGATCTGGTCTCCATCAGAGAGGAGAGTCATTTTGAGCAGGAACGTGGTCTTTGATGAAAGTTCAATGCTCAGATGCACAGCAGAGCCTACAGTTACCGCAGAGATTGATAGCTCTGACAAGCAGGTGGAGCTGCATCCAAATCATGAAGAGAGTGATTTGCAGAAACGTGAAGACGGAGAAGAGCAACAAGAAGAAGACAGTCCGTCAGAACCTATATCAGCAGTCAGGCAACCATCTAATACTAAACATCGTAGTATTGTTTTAGATCGACCTAAGAGGGTAGATGTTAAACCTCCCAAGAGATATGGTTTCGAGGATATGGTTGGTTATGCACTGCAGGTTGCAGAAGAGGTGAATACTTATGAGCCATCCACGTACACATAAGCTGTTTCAAGCTCAATGGCTGAGAAATGGTTTGCTGCAATGGGAGACGAGATGCAGTCTCATGATGAGAGTCAAACATGGAATCTGGTCGTACTACCACCGGGGAGAAAGGTTGTTACAGGCAAATGGATCTTCAAGATTAAGGACGGGATATCACTTGAAGAGGGAGTCAAGTATAAAGCTCGGGTCGTTGCTAGAGAAGGTGTAGACTACAATGACATCTTCTCACAAGTGGTCAGACACACTTCCATCAGGGTGCTGCTTGCAGTAGTGGCACGTCACGATTTGGAACTTGAACAACTCGATGTGAAGACAGCTTACCTTCATGGCGAGCTAGAGGAAGAGATATACATGACCCAGCCAGAGGGTTTCCAAGTTCCAGGTAAAGAAGATTATGTATGCAAGCTGAATAAGTCGTTGTATGGGCTTAAGTAGCCTCCCAGACAGTGGTATAAGAAGTTTGACAGCTATATGATCAAGTTAGGATACACACGAAGTCTTTATGATTGTTGTGTCTACTACAACAAGCTGAAAGATGAATCATACATCTATCTAGTACTGTATGTGGACGACATGTTGATAGCTGCTAAGCGTATGTGTGACGTTCTGGAATTGAAAGATCTGCTCAGCGTAGAATTTGAGATGAAGGATTTAGGTGCAGCTAAGAAGATTCTAAGAATGGAGATTCTTCGAGATAGAGAAAAGAAGAAGCTTTTCTTATCGCAGAAAGGTTACATTCAGAAGGTGCTAGCAAGGTTTGGTATGTCTTCAGCCAAACATATTGACACTCTGTTTGCTGCTTATATTCATCTCACCATGTTTACACCGCAATCTGAAGAAGAGAAAGAGTATATGTATCGAGTTCCTTATGCCAGCGCTGTAGGAAGTTTGATGTATGCTATGGTATGCACTAGACCGGATCTTGCACACGAAGTCAGTGTTGTTAGCAGGTTCATGGGACAGCCAGGAAGAGAGCACTAGCAAGCTGTGAAAAGGATTTTCTGGTACCTTTGTGGTACGTCTGATATTGGTCTCATCTACGGAGGTGAGAGACCTTGTCTGGTTACAGGCTATTCTGACTCGGATTATGCTGGAGATGTGGACAGTAGAAGATCAATGACTGGCTATGTATTTACCTTGGGCGATTCTGTTGTAAGTTGGAAAGCAACCTTACAGCCAACTGTGATGTTGTCTACTACTGAAGCAGAGTATATGGCGTTGACCGAAGCAGCTAAAGAAGGTATCTGGTTGAAGGGCTTGGTTAGTGATCTTGGTCTGCATCATGACCAGGCTACTGTGTACTGTGACAGTTTGAGTGCAATGTGTTTAGCCAAAGATCAAGTTCATCATGAACGAACCAAGCATATTGATGTAAGGTATTACTTCCTGAGAGGTGAGAAGAGGATCAGTGTGAAGAAGGTAGCGACAACTGATAATCCTGCTGATATGTTCACGAAGCCAGTTCCTCGCAGCAAGTTCCAACATTGTTTGGACTTGTTGAACATCAAAGACTGTTGATCATGCTCCGTAAAGGGCGTCTGGTCCGAAAGGACATCTGAGGCAAGGGAGAAGTCAGGTTCATCTAGCATTGTAGCGATGCATCTGGTACATCTGTAAGGAGGATTCAAGTCAAGGTGGAGATTTGTTAATATGCCTTGAATCTGATTGTGCATGCAGGCTGATCAACCATGCGTTGATGTTTGCACGCTGCTTGAATAGACGTTGATGTTGGCATACTGCTGGATGTTGCGTGTAGACTGCAGGATGATGAATCTGCATGCTGCACGATGAAGCTTCATGCTGCATGATGAATATGCATGCTGCATGATGAAGCTGCAGACTGCATGTAGAAAGCTGCATACTACATGTAGGAAGCTGCATACTGCATGCAGGACGTTGCAAGCTGCATGCTGCATGTTGAAAGTTACAGTCTGCTTAGAAAGATGTTAAAATCTGTTAGCATAATCAACATACAAGCCTGCACGCATATGGACCACGCATCTGTTAGCTGAAGACTTAGTATACGGACTTCAGCGTGCGAGCCCACGTTATTTGAATCTGCTCTTGCTATTGCCCTTTCCTTTTGTAATTCTGAATTTAACAGCCACTATCTCCAACCCTCTCTATATTCCTTCAGGCCTAACTACTAGTCTCCCGAACATTCTTAACATGTTTTGATACTGATTTTTGAATCTTCATTAATACTTAGTAAACACTTGTTTTATGTTTATCTTTAAGCTAATACCTTACAAAACAGAGATCAGGATGTACAATTGGCTTATACCACTATTTGGCAATCCATCAAATTTGAGTGTAAAAAAGTTAACTTCAAGTCCCATAAAAATAAAAATAAAACAGCCCCATCTTCTTCATAAAAGTAGCTGTAAAATATCTTACACTAAAAAAAAATTATAGATGATACACACAAAACAAGCTAACCCACATGTCATCAGTTTCTTCGATAGACCCGACCCAAAAAAAACAAACATATTTTCTATTTCCGGCGAAGAAAGAAGAGGTTATACACTAGAAAATATCAAAAACTATCGGTACATAGTTCAGTCTTGTCTAGCCAGATCATCATGGGAGCCAGATGTTCTTATCTTTTTCGAGGGTGAATCGTTAAGTCGAGGCTCGGGTCGCTTACCTAGCTGCGACGCTATCTGATCCTCTGGAGATATCCATGTCAGTGGATTAGCTGAAGAAAACAAGACAACCCAAATGTTAGAAAATTCCAAAAGCAGGATTCTTAAAATAGCTTGGATTAATACTAATAGATTTTTATACAGATTTTAGATTTGGTTTTTAGTTTTTGTTTTTTAGATTTTAGTTTACTTTAAAAGAATTTTGTTTCAAAAATCAAAATAAAAAACCTTAAGGTTTTTGGAGTAAAATAACGTAGACGAAGCAGAAACAAGATTCCCTAATTTGTAGGATACCTAAAAAACTAAAAACTTGAATGGATATTTAAAACAAAATAGAATTTTCTATGGACTTGATTGGTGACTAAGTAAATCTTTATAAAACAAAAACCAAAAACTCTTCAAGAGTCTACTAAAAACTCTTGGGTTAAGTACACATTAAGCACATTAGCAGAAACGATCAACTATTCAAGATTAAGCTAATGGAGAGAGTACAACGTTTTCGTACGAGTTTCTAACTCAAACAAGTAGTTAGATTTGCATGGCTAAAGTGAAAATATTTGTCTCTGTGAACGTAAACAAAAAAAAAGACAAAATAAAAGAACGATATTGGAAAAGAAAATATATATACATCCGTGTGTGGACAGGTTCTAGTTTCGATAAATAGATTTTAGTCATGAATGTATTTTTCGTGTATTTCCCTATAAAAACTCTTAATAAATTTCACTCAATAGTCGATCTAGAAGAAGGTGGGAGAAAATGAAGCAGCATACCTTCAGTAGCTACAGAAGTGTTTGTATTATCGCTGGATTCCACTACTCGAGTTGGGCGCTTCCTCACATAGTTGTCTTGCAGAGGTTTCGGGATTTGGAACGAGAACTGTGAAAGCTTCAACCCTTCACTTACGTATTCCGGGTGCTCGTTCAAGTACCTGCAAGCCAGAAAATAGGTTTTAAAGGGTGAAAAGAAGCTATCTATATTTCTGAAAAGTGAAAACACTAAGCTCTACTTCTACCATTCCTCAAATACTCCAGGGAAGTATTATGAAAACATGATATTTTATTGATAACTTGGCATTGGACATATATGGTTGTTGTACTTTGCATCACTGCCTAGCAGATAACAGTTGAGGTTCGGCAAAAATGGTAACACAAAGAGACCTCATCCTTATATATACTCACAAGTAAAGGCCAAGCACACATGGAAACGGAAATTAAGACATGTGATTCCTAAATATTATATAAATAAAGGGTACGTATCGATCAATGTATTCGCTTTTGTTGTACGGGAAAAGGAAAATGTGGAAATAGAGTGCTAGAAAAACTAACTTTTGGACCTCCACATTTGATCGAAGCTTTTTTCCTGATGGAGTAACATAATAGCTGAAAGACAAGGACAGAAAAGCTTGGTTATATACACAGTACGGTTTTAAGACTGAAGAATGGTTTGGCATTCAATGAGAGAAGAGTAACGAGAGCAGAGGAACGTACACATCAGCGAACTTGGTACCTCCTTCACCTCTAATACGCAGTAGACGTTGCCAACCAGTGGGTGGACGAGCGATGCTGGGCTTATCAATAGCCCAAAGACGGGTTCCATCTTGAGAGATATCCGCAGGAACATCACAAGACATATTTGGTTTCCACTCGCACGCCATCTCGCAGAAAAACGGGTTTTCTAGAAGTTTTTCCCTAATCTCTTCGTACTTCTGCATCGAAGGCATAAGCCTCCATTTGAAACAACAGGCACACTGGACTGTAAAAGCCCCAATGGAAGGACACTGTGTTCTGCATGAAGGAAGCTGAGATTGTTGGACTTCTTCCTCAGTATCGTTTCCTTTGGCACCATAAAGAACCAACTGATTCTCGATGGTTTCGTCAATAGGTGAGGACGATCTTGATCCCCGCAAGGGTTGAACAGCTTGAAAATCAATGGCACTGGAGAAAGGAGCAACCTTTCTTTCCTTCATTACATTGTTGGATTCATTTTTATAGCACGACCGCGACATGCTCGATACAAAACACCTATAATACACAATACATGGTTATAGATTCGTCACAACTAAGCTTTTTTCTCTGTTGAACAAAACATCATTCAGACAGAAGATTTATCATACAATCAGCAAATTGATACGTATAGTTAACATCTTTTCCCCTTTGAATAAAAACAGTAAAGAACAAAGACGGCAATAACGGTACTCTCTCTGTGAACATCATAGGAGAACATGAAGAAGAAGATAAAATCAGCCTGTCTCTGTGAACATCGAACATGAACAATTAAAAAATCCAAACATAGATCAAACAAGAAACACAATGATACGAATAGTTTACATATTTTTCTATTTGAACAAAGACAGAGCAAATAACTGAAATGGCCATTACAGTACTCTCTCTGTAAACATCATAGGATAACATGAACAATAAGATAAAATCAGAATGTACTTTCTGTCTGGAAATTTAGATTATCAACAATTAAAAAAATCCAGACAAGCAGCACATTCATTCGAACAGTGGACAGTAGAAACCCTCGCATGGATTTATATTATTAAAAATCATAATCAGCTATATCAAATTGAGTGAGAGATAGAAGGACAAGAAAAGCATATCAATGGAAACAACAGTAATCAACAAGAGCCACCTTGCGGTGAGAGATTTGAGATCCATACATATCATCGGAAGAGGCACAAAAATATTGAATTTCGAGAAGAGGAAGAAGAATCATTACACGAAGAGAACAGGGGTTTCAGAGATCGGTGAGAGGTTTCCTGATAGAATCAGCCAAAGCTCTACAGATCGTTGCGAAGAGAGTTTCTTTGATCCGACAATCTCACGGACACGGAAACAATTCGAGCAAAAGTTGTTTAGATTTGGTGGTGTTGTTGTCGAGACAGATATAAGGAGAGAGAGAGAGAGAGATACTGATTTTAATTCCTTTTGCATAAATATGTTGCCATAAAATATTTTCACTATATTTTGTGGCAATTTTATTAAAGAGAGCAAAATGACGTTTTGGTGAAAACGTCACACGCTAATTTTTATCTGTAATAGCTTTTATTGAACGGTTAATGACGATTTTATCTTTTCTCACCAAGGAGACCATTTTGATTTAAAGCAGTTTGGCTAAAACATGAAGACTTCACAGGGCCGCTATTAACATTTTAAAAGGGTGATTGGAAAATACTATAGATTCTGTAAATGTTAAAAAAAAAACACTTAAGAAACAGAATAAGAAAGTATTTGGAGATGTTTTTTTTATCAAATAATTTCCATTAATTCCAAAAGGTGATTACAGAAATATTATACATAATTACTGTACCACAAATTATTACATAAACAGATATATGTACTATATATTGAGAAAAATATAGTAAAAAGGACTTTGACGATGCTTTCGGAAGAGTAGTCTTATTCGTTGATTACAAAATCGATTATTATCCAACTTTATATTTGATCTTTCTCTGATGTGATTTGAATGCAGCAATTTTTGGCTGTCCTTCTTTTTGCAAACCGCATCTGAAAATCTGATGTGTCCAAAATGTAATCATGAATAATAGATATTATGGTATCAAACATTCCATACAAAAATTCTTCCAAGATATTGTGACTATAACTTCCTCTTAACCAAACCATCATTTGTTGCAACATCCAATGGTATATTCAACTTTCCAAATATGGATCGGCCAAACTCTTTATGGTCAATGATCCATATCATACCCAAGCTGCCATTGTTCATAGATTCTCTACTAAACTTGACTAACTTCCCATCGACAACCACCAAAACAGTTTCCAATACATCATCAAAATAGTTGTCCATGTCCCTCGAACCATTATCCACTTGAGAATATATTCAAACAAAAAATCAGTCGATGCCATGGTGACGGTGTCCCCAAAAAGAAATCCGATTGATTCCATGATGGTGGTGTCTCTAGAAAAAAACCGGTTAATTTCATAATAACGGCGTCGCCTGAATGAAATCCAGCCAACCCTATGGTGATGGTGTCGCCAGTCAATTCTATAATATTTTTTTACTCTATAATCAATAAAAACGCAATCATTTACCCCTGGATCCCATATCCAAACTTGCTCTTCATCTTTGAAATTGGAGAGGTCTAAATTAGAATCAGAGAGTAAACCACACGTTTCATTGACGAAACAACATACACCGTTCAGAGACGGAAAGAAGCCGACACAAAAACGCGTGGGTTGTGGCCATGTTATGGTCGGAGAAACTTTCTGTACTAATGAGATAAGGAAGACGCGAGTTTAAAAAGAAATCTTCAAACACAACGCTTGATGACGATACATATGGTCGTGAACCGATATAATAGTGGTTGCTCTCCGATCCATATCTCCCGACGATGAAAAATGTATGTTGTAGAGCACCATCCAAACCGTGAACGCTAGGATCGAGATCAAAGAATGCATTGAAATCAACAAAATTCCACAAGGTGTTCATTTGGAATACACAAAACTATGAAACAACAAAGAGATCAAAGCAATCTAAGAAAAAAGGAAAACCCGACCGACACCAAAGAAGTCAGCGCCGGCCGGAAAACGATCCAGAAAACAAAAAGAGACGAGTGAGACGAGATTGTTTCCACAAAACCGCCTTGGAGAGAGACGAGAGTGATTTAAGATAATATGGAATTTACTTAGTATCAAATGGTTCTTTTGGAGATGTTTAAAGAAGAAAAAAAGAAGTTGATAAATAATATCAAAACGGTACAAAATTTGCTAAAAAAATATTAGTCCGATGATCTTTTACGCCAAGAAAAAAATGCTTTTTAAAAAGTTTTGGTACTGTTCTTAAATAGGAGGAAATCATCTTGTTTTAAAAGTGAAGGGAGAGAGATATAACATTAGGAGACGAAACACAAATATTTTCATACTCTCACAGTATTTAGGAGACTGCGAAATCTGATTGAAACATTGAAAGATGAGGATGGTCGTTGGGTTTCTAATCCGCATGAGCTAGTAAAACTAGCCATATAATACTTTGATTATATTCTATGGAGGATGTGGAGCAAGTAGTGGATATATTGATGTAAGTAGGGTTTGTTACTCTAATAGAGCTTAATAAACCTTTTTCAGCCACGGAAGTTGAAAGCTCGATTCGAAGTATGGGGAAATATAAAGCACCAGGACCAAATGGATATGAACCAGTGTTCTATCAAATTAGCATTGTTGCCACGTGGGGTTTGAATTGAGCATTTGGATTTGTAGATTATTTGAGATCAATTGTTTATTTTGAATTTGGTTACTAACTTTTTCATCTTGTCTATTGTCTATTGAAGGTGTATGAACCTAAGAACAAGAGAATAACAAAACTTGGTTGAGCCTATTGACAACATACAATTGCTTGAAAGATGAGTAAGGGCAAGAACAGAAAGAGAGAAGCTAGAGCGGTTTTATAGGCTAAATTTGGAGCAGTCACAATGAGCTGGTGGGGTTGGGCCACAAGGACACCAAGGAGAGCAGTGCTCACATGGAGTGCAAGGCCAACAAGGATAACAAGGAGAACAAGGTGTTCAAGGTGAAGCTAGAGGACCAATATACCAACAAAAACCTATTCAGAAAATTGAAGCTGGAAATGCACCAGATACTCACAACAACAGGCATGAGATACAACCACCACCAGTTGCTGATAACAACTTTGAGATCAAGAGTGGCCTCATCTCTATGGTGCAAGGGAGTAAGTTTCATAGACTTCCTCTTGAAGATCCACTTGACCACTTGGATCAATTTGATAGGCTATGTTCTTTGACCAAGATCAATGGAGTCAATGAAGAAGGCTTCAAATTGAGAAGTTTCCCTTCTCCTTGGGTGATAAAGAACATTTGTGGGAGAAATATCTTCTGCAAGGGAGCATCACTAGCTGGTATCAGTGCAAGAGAGCCTTCTTAGTCAAGTTTTTCTCCAACTCAAGGACAGCTAGGCTAACGGATGAAATATCAAGTTTCTCACAAAGGACTAATGAAATTTTTGGGGAAGCTTGGGAGAGATTCAAGGGGTTTACAATGCAATGTCCACATCATGGGTTCTCTAATGAATCTCTTCTCTCCACACTCTATAGAGGAGCTTTTCTAGAGATCAGAATGCTCCTTGATACAGCTACCAATGGAAATTTTCTGGCTAAGGATGTAGATGAAGGCTTGGAATTTGTGGAAAATCTGCCACAAAGTGATGGGAATTACAATAAAAACTATGATAGAGCACAAAGGGGATCAATAGAAGAGCTAAACTCTACCTTGAAGGGCGCCTAAGTCTACTAAGAAAGAGATCAAGGAGATGAGCTCAAAGCTTGATAAGCTATTCCAAGTGCAACAAAATGAGGTTAACATTGTTGGGGAAATGATTCAAATCCTAGATGATGAAGAGGTACAAGTAGAGGAGATGAATTATGTTTGAAACCAAGGTGGCTACAACAACTATGGAAACTATAGGCACAATCCTAATCAATCATATAGAAGCAACAATGTGGCCAATCCTCAAGACCAAGTGTAACCTTCACAACAAGGCCAAGGACAAGAAAACCAACAAAGGAACTTTATGTCTTCCAACAACCAATGATTTTCTCCCAAGAAAACTTTCAAGGGAGCTACCAGCCCAAGCAACAATTCGCCCCTCCTGGTTTTGCTACACATGGTCAAGGCAATGCCTCAAGCTCTAGTGATGCTGAAATGAAAGGGATTCTCCAACAGCTTCTATAATGTCAAATCAATGGTAATTTGGACATCAATAAGAAGTTTGCTAATGTTTACAATAAGATGAACTCCTTTCATGCTGACCTTTGTGCCAAGATTAATGGTTTGAATTCAAGAGTAAAGACCTTGGAGAGCAACAAAGGAATTGCTTCAGGCCTTAGACCTTAAGAGAAACTTTCTAGAAAGTCTGAAGCTAACACCAAAGAGTATTGTAATGTAATATATTCAAAGGAAGAATCTCTTGGGGAAGCAATCATTGATGAGTTCCTATCTTTCATCAGTGAGGACATTGAAGTTCAAAGTGAAGGAGAGGATTGAAGAGATTACTTTTGCAAGTCAAAGATTCAATTCCTCTTCTAATAAATTGTAGTATAGAGAGGTGTCAATCCAATTATGGGAGTATTAAGAGGAAGTCTATGAACTAAGCTAAGCAAGAAATGATGGGCCTTTAAAGTGAGAGAACAATTCTAACAACCTAAAGAATGCAAGCGGTTTACACTAAAAGAGTACTGAGCAAGTAAATGATCCAAACTAAGCAAGATGATAAATTAAGCAAGTAGACATGAACAACTAGAACATAAGCGATTTAAAACTATGAAATTAAAAGCAAGATTCAAGATCCTAAGCATTGATGGTCAAGTGTCCATAAGAGTGATTAAGGGGTTTCTAAAACAAGAGTATTCAAAAAAGCAATTCAAGCAAGCATTTCTCAATATTGCAATCCTAGACAATGTATCTAAAGAGAATCAGCTTAGTGGTGTATAATTCAGATCCATTTCAATAAGACTAGTGTGTCAAACCCACTTTTGATGGTGTATTCACTAGCCACGAGCATAAAGCAAAGAACCGCGATTGTCTAAAAGAAGCACTAATCAAATTGAACCTCTCTCTCTCTCTCTCTCTCTCTCAAGGAATGATTCTAGTCAACCTATCATCGGTTAGGATTCTTTAGGGATCTAAGCAGCAACACAATAATTCAAGAACATGGCTTTAAGCTCATCATATGCGAAACTTAAGCATACAAAAGCAATACATTAGATCTCAAGCAGCGGAGTGTTATTTAATGTAAACTATCAAGCTATCAAGCAAAACTCATGGATCCAACACTATCAAGCCCTAAGCGAATCATTTGGCAATACAAACTTTCAACTTTGATGTCACAAGTCAAAGGAACCATAAGCATCACAAAACATCAAGCCAAAATAAGCGAATCATGTGAGGAAACAAGACATAAAGCTATCAAGCGA